AACACTTGGTAAACTTACAGCGTGTTAATGAAGACAGTTAAGAATATAAGTGTGTGTGTGTGTGTGTGTGTGTGTGTGTGTGTGTTCCCATTACGATACATAACTCAAAACACTGTGGCCTAATAAGACTGGACCCCAACTCAAATGGTTAGATTAGATTCTGGGGCCCATTAAGACTTTAACCCAGTCCAAACGCGGGCCTATCTACCCAGTGACCTCTCTCTCTCTCCAACCTTTCATTCAATACACCTGACCTTTCGTGACCTCAGGCAGATATATACGCTCACCAGGTAACACTACAAAATCATTACATTACTACATATAAATAATTACCTGGATTCTAAATTAACCTGTACTATATAAACCCAAGTTAATTAAAACCTATGTAAATTTCTCTCTATATTTAGGCTGAGAGACAAACCAGTTACTATAATTACACACACACACACACACACACACACACACACACCTGTACTAAGGTAATTAACTACCTGTATGTCGATTTTACACACCTTTCTATTTACATCTAGATTAAGACCACCACCTGTTGATAATCTACCTCTACTACACACCTGTATCTATAACTAGCTCCAAACCTGAATAAAAAAATAACACACCTGACTGAAACTGACCAACACCTGGATGAGTTTAACACCGTGAGGTCATTGGACTTACAAAACTATCGCTTCAGGTAATGGGAACAAGTTTTTCACTGTCAAACACACTAATTACTACGCCACCACGACCTTTACACCCAACCACACACCTCTTAGGAGACATTTAAGAGTGACTGTAAGTATGACTGGTATGTATAAATGACTGTATGAGTGGTATATATAAGTGACTGTATAAGAATGACTGATATGTCCAAAACAGCTGTTACTTACCTGGGCTCTAAACACATCAATAACTTACCTGTATATTGATAACAAGGTAATTAATGTGAAAATTATGCTTTTAAGATTATAATAAGTTTTCTTACACCTGTCACTAATTAACCTAACCTAACCTACCTTAACCAACCTAACCTAACAAGTTAAATTAAATAGTGTAAAATATTTCGCTTTTCAGGAGACCACACCACCAATCTTTCCACACCATCAAGTAAGTGTACCCGTGGCCTTGCTAATCACGCAGGCGACGCAGGGGAAGACGCAGGGGAAGACGCAGGGGAAGACGCAGCCGTATCACTATGCCACACTCGTCAGTAATGCTTAACCGGTGATCTCTTTAAACCGGTAATAATTATTAACTACTGAAACCACTTTAAAAATGTATACTGTAAATTAGAACGAGTGTAAATGCTATTATTTTACAAGTGTACAGGGACTTTTTACATCACCCTGTACACACTCGGACTGCAACGCTCTTAAATCCGAAGTTAAGGAAGGAATAAAAAAACACGAGTTAAATAATAAAAAATAAAAAAATAAAACAGATGAGATGGGAGGAAAGTACAGTAGAGGAATAAAAACACTACTCCTTACCCCCTCTGTCGGTGACCCCTAAAACTAATCGGTCCATTTCAGAATATCAACAAGTTATAATCGACGTTTATGAATAATTTAAGTATGTTGGAATATTTCAGCCATGTTAACTAAGAACTTGGGGATAATTTAGGATTTAATAAGACTTTCTAAGTATAATGGCGGCCTCTGAGAGAAGCCTATTGATGGGTGACTTATGAAGCTCCTTTGGTCGTGAACAATGTGCAAATTTTATAGGATTTTGTGTCTTAATGAATTCCTCGGGCACTTGTGGGAGGTCGGCGAGGAGGAGGAGGAGGACGTGGTGGAGGTAGGGGTGGTGGTGGGACAGGAGGAGGAGGAGGTGACGGGAGAGGAGGAGGAGGAGGAGGAGGAAGCGGTTACGACAGGAGAAGCGGACTCAGAACAGGGAACACCATGGCCTACATAACACACACACACACACACACACACACACACCTGCTTCAGAACACCTGTAATCGGGTTAATTAGAACACCTGTGTACGTGAGCCACCTAGACAGCTGTTGTTTATACTCAGAGAAAACATACTGATTATTGAACCTCTTCCACTGATAGATAGATAGATAGATAGATAGATAGATAGATAGATAGATAGATAGATAGATAGATAGATAGACGAATGAATGGATAGATAAACGAACGAGAGAGAGAGAGAGAGAGAGAGAGAGAGAGAGAGAGTCAAGTCTCTATGCCAAACCAAACCTTTTCAAATGTCCTTCAAACTTTCACCAACAGCTGCGGACAGACTGACTGACACCTGACAAATACAGACATGAGTCGCAATTTGCTGACACTTGCTGACACGAACCAACTGAAGCCGTATTACACAAGCGATCGATCGTCAGCTCTACGTCTGACAGAGTGAATAAACGTATGTAACAAATTGGCAAATGTTTTATCATATCAGAGTAACAATTGACTGAGGGCGATTGTCATTTATTTATAGATGACGAGGGAAACATATATGCATCTTATATAAGAGTTTATAATGTCAAAATAACAAAAGAAAAACGTCAACACTACTCGCGATTGTCATTTGTTTATAGATAAAAAAAAATCTGCAAAAGTTTAATCGTTTATAAAGTCAAAATAACAAAAGAAAAACGCCAAATAAATATCAGTAACACAAATATAAAGCAATCTTAGCTCAAATAGGTTCCAATCTCATCAAACCTATTGAGAATAGACCCAATAAGACTTAATCCCATTCCCCCGGTGTCAGATTCGATTAGGTACATATTGAAACTGCTATATTAAGACCGAATCCTAAAAAAAAAGGTTTATATCACACTGGAACCGTTTAAGAGACTCCGAGTTGATTAGTCACCCAATCATATATAGTCAAGAACATAAGAAAGTGAAATATATATATGTTTTTTAACACCGGGTTCCTTATATGGCCCTCGAAGCTCAAGGATCAAGGTTCACACGTCAGGTTCCTGCTTCCTGCTTGATGTTTACAGTGTCTTGACCATTGATAGTGATGATGATGAGTTTTATTATTATCACCATAACTATTCTTGCTATTCTCATCACCATCATCATCATCATCAAACAAGAATTTAATGTTAAGGACCAGGTTCAAGGTTACCACCCAGGATATTTTGAAGTCATCCTTGTGTACAGTATCGAGCACGTCCCGCCCTGTACCTCCCACTCTATAAGGCAGTGACCAGGAGGACAGCTGGCGTGAGTAATGCTGAGGTGTTTAATCTTTTACGGGGGATGGGAGGAGTTCCTAAGGCCTTTTGTTGGGTCTGCAGATGATTTAATGGGTGTGGGTAGTGAAGGTTTATACCCTACCCTAACCTAACCTAACCTAACCAAACCTAATCTAGTCTAGCCTAAGTTAAGCTTACCTTAGCCAATCATAATCTAGACTAGTCAAACCTAATCTAGACTAACTTAGCCTAGCCTATCCTAACTTAATCTAACCTGAGCATGATGAGGATTGAAACTCTCTCTCTCTCTCTCTCTCTCTCTCTCTCTCTCTCTCTCCTTCAGAGTTAATCATGCGTATCAACACCACAAAAAACTCATCAGCGGTTCAGGTTGTTTCTCCCGTTAGACCAATGAGAACTGTGGCTTTACTGTGGCTCTATTAAGATTCGGGAGGTACCAGTAGTGGGGCCCAGAAAGACGAGGGCCCATGAGAACTAGGGCCCATAACTCCTAGGCTTCCATAACACCTGGGGGCCCAATTCTAATAGGTCAATAGGGCTTAAATAGGGGCCTACTAGGACTGAAGGCATCAATATAGTCCATCATGACTCACTATACCTCACCTGGACTCACCTGTGTAGACGACGCCATCTATGGGAGGGGGAGAGCGACACACGAGGGGCACCAGAATGATGTGTTTGACCTCTGACCTCTGACCTTACGTGTTAGCGGTCTCTCCTACAGCGTTCTGGTCACGAGCTGGGTCAGAGTGATCTACTTGTGTTGTCATGGGCGTGAGAGACAGGTGTGTGTGTGTTCGTGTTAATCTACATAGCAAGGTGTTTCGTGGTTGTGGGGGTTACTTAACCCATATCTATCTTAACTTACCCTTATATAATGATAATATATTTAACCTGATCTAACCTAATTTAACCATCCACTCACTCATCCGCCCACCCCCACCCACCCATTTGTCCGTCCATCCACACAACCGCACGCCCGCTTTACCACCCGCCCATAGCTGAAGAGAAACCTTTTGCTCCAAGTAATGACCTGACTTATGACTTCACTTTCTATCTGTACAATATGGCACCTCATAGTGAAGTACAATATGGCACCTCGTAGTGAAGCACAATATGGCACCTCATAGTGAAGTACAATATGGCACCTCGTGAAGTACAATATGGCACCTCGTAGTGAAGTCAATATGGCACCTCGTAGTGAAATACAATATGGCACCTCGTAGTGAAGTGCAATATGGCACCTCGTAGTGAAGTACAATATGGCACCTCGTGAACAATATGGCACCTCATAGTGAAGTACAATATGGCACCTCGTAGTGAAGCACAATATGGCACCTCATAGTGAAGTACAATATGGCACCTCGTAGTGAAGTACAATATGGCACCTCGTAGTGAAGTTCAATATGGCACCTCGTAGTGATGTTCAATATGGCACCTCGTAGTGAAGCACAATATGGCACCTCGTAGTGAAGTACAATATGGCACCTCTAGTGAAGCACAATATGGCACCTCGTCGTACAAAACATGACTAACCACATCTTAAAACTGGCCACAAAACATTAAGACATTGATTAGGTAATATGACTACTTCCCAACGTCTGTTCTTACCTGTACTTCCTATCTCTACCTGTACCTGTAATACTGTCTTTAAATTAATCCAATAAAGGTGTTTAATTACCTTTATATAACAAGATAGTTAAAGATTACACAAATTCATATGGAAAGCATAAGGAAAGAATCAATTGGAAAGGAAATTCAATGTAGTGAAGATCTAAGACCACTGAGAGGGAAACAATGATGACTTACCTTGAATGGAAACAGTTCAACATAAATGCCATCAGGTATAGTGGCGGAGGAGATGAGAGGACTAGTGTGAGTTGCCGGACGCAGTCGTGAGCGTTGACGGGGGTAGGTGTGGTAGCCGAGTTGAGGGTCAGATGTCCACGAATCTCTGTCCTCAGCACCTGACTCACTCTTATCCACACCTAACATGCTCCTCGACTTCCTCAAGCCTTCGTTTCTATTTAGGCTACACGAAGCTATACTATTATCTGACTTATCTGCATTTCTACTTTTCGTCTTTTCTCTCACGGATTTATCACCTGTTTTTCTATCATTTTCCTTTTCACTTTTTAGCGTTTTTTCTCTTAGTTCCTTTGCTAGATGGTAACCCAGAGCATTCTTGAAGTCTAGAGCATACTCCAGACTGTCGGGTTCAAGAGTTTTAAAATCATATGACTCGTACTCTGAAGGTTTGAGTTGATTACTACTTTTGTCGGTTTTCGAATCTTTCCGAGACTTGTTGGATGGTTTCTTTGGTGTTTCGTTGTTGTGTTTCGAGGATTTCCTGTGTGGTCTTGGTATCTTATAGTGGTTTTCTAATCCTTTGCTTCGTTTCGGGGTTTTCTTATCCCTTCTCATCGTTTCTTTGAGTTTCTTTAGCGCTTTGTAATGATGCTGCTTCGGTGTTTGTTTGAGCAGCTTCGTTGTATCTTGGTAGTAGGCTTGTGTTTCCTCCTGTTGAAGCATTTTATCGACTTGATTCGGTGTCTCAGTAAGTCTCGTCTCTGTTTCTTCGAGTTGTGGAGCTTTGTTCATGTATTTCTTCGGAGTATCGTAAATTTGTTCAGGTGCTTCGATACAGTGATTCGTCCTGTCGTCTATTTTCTGACTATTGTCCGGTTCGATGCTGTAATAGAAGGTGCTGTTTCTCTTAGTGTCCACAGGTTTGTTTACTCGTGGTGCTGCGTAGTGGCAGTGGCTGTTGGCTGCTGGACTGAAGAGACTGCTGGCGATGGTACCGAAGAAGTACTTGGTCTGGGGACTTCGTTTCGGTCTGACTGAGATTTTTGTATTGATTGGAACGGCATATCTAGCAACCTCTGAATTGGTGTCCCCGAGAGTGAGTGAATTGGCGTGTCCTAATGTAGGGTGATGTCCTCTTTCAGCTGTGGTAGAGATGGGGCTTCCTGAACTAATACCATCGGTAAGTTCTGAACAGCCGACGCCTATGTTACCAGGACAGCTGATGGTGTCTATGTCTCTATGACTGACTGGTTTGTTGTTCTGGGGACAAGCGTAGTGATGTGAGTTGGTATCCCTTACTTGTTCCAGCTGTTGACTAACCTGCTTGAACACATCATCTGAAGTTTTACTCTTTTGAAGTTCTCCTGATGTAGAGTTACTGTAAGTCTTCAGGTCATCGTCTCTCTCCCGAGGAACTTCCTGGTGTTGATGTCCCTCTTCCGAGTCTTGCTTCCGATTATCGTAATGATTGTGGCTTGTGGACGACCCTGTGTTGTCTTGGTGAATATCTTCCGTCTTAGTTTCATAATTAGACTCTTGGTGATTTTCTCTCACCAAGGGCTCCTGGTGATCTGCCTCTGAGTGATCCTGGTGAGGCTGTTGACTCTCCTCGCTCGTGTCCTGTTTCCAGCTATTGTGAGACTCGAGGCTGTAGTAAGATTCCAAAACATCCTTAAGAAATTCACCTGTTTCGGTTTCGTGACGAATCTCCTGGTGACAGTCTATCTCCTTGACATCCTGGTGATTCTCTGACTCAGAGGACACTTGGTGATCCTGTTGACGCCCCCGAGTCGAGTCCTGTTGTAGATCATCATACTCGTGGCTGTGGTCTTGGTGAGGCTCTGTACTGGGGCGCTCCTCGTGACTTTCCGATACATCCTGGTGAAGCTCTGACACCGATGAAACCTCCTGCTGCTGCTGACAAGGACCCCGACCGTCGTAGTACTCATGGCTCGGGTAAGATCCAGTCACGAAGCCCCGATGGAGGAAGGAGGTATTTGGCTCACTAGGGGCGGCAGAAGAGCTGTTGTCACTCACGGTGGAGGAGCAAGAGGAAGAAGAGGAGGAGTTCCCATTCGACGTCTGGTCACTCTTAGCTCTGAGGTCCACCAAACTTATCTCGTCTAAGGGAGTGGTGGGGAGGAAGGACATCTCACCGGGAAGCTTCAACGGGCTTCGAATTCTCCACTTGAGCATCGTTTCAGTTTCTTAATGTACACAGCCCGTCCTTGGCACTATAATCAAGGCACTGCTGTTCTATAATTCATCATTTTCTATCAATGCCTCAGTGACCATAACCCATCCTGGTACTAGATGTCACTTTCGTCCTATCACTCATTTTTTCAGTCTTAAGTCTGTTCTAAATTCTAAAATATTTGATATTTTATGAACTTTTTCCTATAATTATAAAAAATATTAATAAAAAACATCAATAACACTAAGATTTCCTTTTCTAAAACATTCAATTATTAAAAAAAAAAAAAACACGACACTCATTCACAAACACCAATAAACATCTTTTCATTAAATTCCTCAAACACTAAAATAAGAACAATACATTTGATAATATTTCCTTCTGTAATTAACCCACAGAACGTCACAATGTTAACAACAACAACTCAATGATAATTACAATCAGATGTTATTACGAATATCTCCCTCTAATTATCCTCACCTCCATCACCCGTGCAAGCCTGGTGCTGGTGAGGAAGGAAGGAAGGAAGGAAGGAAGGAAGGAAGGAAAGAAGGAAGGAAGGAAGGAAGGAAGGAAGGAAAAAGGAAGGAAGGAAGGAAGGAAGGTGGTGTACTAAGGTTCCCAGGGAAGTGTGTAATGTAGCTCACCCACTAGACCACCACCCCCCCACTACTTCCTCATCAAGCCCCCTCCCCCCATGGGAATATGAGAAGGTGTAATGTCCAGGTGTCCTAAGAATGTGTGTGTGTGTGGGGGGGACACACACACACACACACACACACACACACACACACACACACACACACACACACACACCACATCAACTTTCCTCTTAACAACCAATGATTAAACAACATAAACAAACAGGTATGAGATATTTCTACCTGTTCTGGGCACTCTCTCTCTCTCTCTCTCTCCTTGAGGTTTCTGCCCCCCCTTGTTCCACCCTACACAAGAAAGGTAAAGGGAGAGAGAGAGAGGGAGAGGGGCCAAGATAATTAGACACGCAAACAGGGGCCCATTAATGCTGGGCCCCATTAACGCTCGGCCCCCATTAGGATTGGAGTCATGAAGGAGAGTGGTTTATTAACATTCTTACCCATTACAATCAAGGCCCATTAGAATTAGGTCCATTAGATTTCAGGACCATTAAACTGGGGCCCATTAGGACTTGGGGCCCACTAAAACTATGACCAATAGAACTAGGTACCAATAAAAAATGGGGCCCATTTGGACTCGGGCCCATTAGAATCTGGGACCATTAGCACTCGGGCCCCATTAGAAAAAAAGACCCACTAAATCTAGGGCCCTTTTGAAATGTGTCTATCGGGGCCAATCAGGACTTAATTACTAATCCTAACAGTGACGTCATACTTGATGTTGACCAATAAGGACTGAAGCCCCATATGAGTGACCGCCCCAGTGACCTTACCTGAAGGCTGCTTGATAACACCGTAAGGGGGAAGGTGCAAGCAGACAAGCAGAGAGAAGCAGACACAAGTAGAGATAAGCAGACAAATAGAGAAACAAGTAAAGACAAACATACATAAGCAGACACACGCACAAACAAGCAGATACAAGCAGACAAACAAACAAGCAGAAATAAGCAGAGGTAAGATCAAGTATAAACTCCCCCCTCCCCCACCCCGTGACCAAATAGTGGCAGACACCCTAGACGCCCGTGTGTGACTCATAGGGGGAGGGGAGTGGGGAGGGGAGGTTTGGGGGAGGAGGAGGGAGGTGGGGAGGGGAGGTTAGGAGGGGAGGGAGGAAGGGGGGAAAACCTCACCCTTAAAAAGGTCCCGATATCACCTCTTATTATTATTATTATTATTATTATTATTATTGTTTGTTATGATTATTGTTGTTATTGATATTGTTGCTATTGTTGTTGTGTTTTTTTATCATCATCATCCTCCTCATCATTATCATCATCGTCATCGTCATTATCATCATCATCATAATCATCACAATCATCATCACCATATACCACCCTACCACAATGGGACACACCTGGGTCGCGCCACACTGCCTACCACAACAGGTAAGCGAATATACGAGACTTAATGATATGGAATTAGCAGGTAGATGGGGGAAGTGGGTGGCCGTGGACACATAAATAAGAAGCTGCTCTTATTTTACTGCCAACGTACTAAATTAATCCTAACCTAACCTTACCTAATCTAATCTAACCTAACATAAGCTAAATAGATCTAACCTATCCTTGCCAAAACCCAGACTAAATTAAATCGGATAAAGGGTAATTTTTTTTCAATTTTTTTGCGAAATAACGAAGAAAATTAAACAAAAATCGGCATAAAACTACATTAGGTTAGTTACCCCTCATATATTCCGCGTCAATCAAAGAAAACGGGTTAGTTTCTTGGGGAGTTAACCGACCAAATCAGTATTCTATCTTTGTTTATAATCTACCAATGAGTATTAAAATGACAAATTACTAACGATACTTATAATATAACGGGATATAACAGGAAATAGTCTTTGTATCTGATTAATTAATATGCCATAGCAATAAAGAACAAAGGAAGTAAATTATCCTAGAACTGAAACTTGGTGGTGGGAGCATAGTAGAGTCTTAGTAGGAAACACCCTCTCTCTCTCTCTCTCTCTCTCTCTCTCTCTCTCTCTATCTCTCTCTCTCACCCAATCATCACGTCACAGAAAACAATGACGTAATAGATTCAGTGGGAAGGAAACCCCGCCAATCAAAAGAGACTTGTACTTTAAACACAGACTTGATAACCAATCACATCCGACTGGTGAGACACATCTGAGAACTACCACCACCTCCTCCTGACAGGATTCCCATGACAGTCACTCACAGTTGTTCATACAGTCATTACGTACATGTACCTAATATATAGTCATTACGTACATGGAAATAATAGACAGTCATTAAGTGCTCGTAACTAACAGTCAATTAGTACATGTAACAGTTAATAAGCACATTTAACACAGTCATCGAGTACATGTAATCATCAAGTACTCTCTGTATATCACTCAGCATCGCTAGAGTACTCAATTTTACTTGATGGAAGATTTTATTAGTTTCTCACCTGACGGATGACTCACCTGATATACGAACAAAACAGGTGTGTGTGTGTGTGTGTGTGTGTGTGTGTGTGTGTGTGTTCAAAGATTCACACACAAACACACACACGCCATCATCCCGACCCACCTTCCCTCCCTCTCCCCTTCCCCACCCCACCCACTCACCCCACCCATCCACTTCCTGCAACAAGTATGTCAGCCCAGGTAGTGATGCTGGCAGGTAAAGAAAAGAAGCCCGCATCTCTCTTAAAACATCCACCTGTTCATCACTTGCTCCTGACGCTATCTGGATGGGAGAGGAAGTGTAGCTGCTTGTGTTACCTGTCGTTAATGAAGGAGGTACACACACACCTTAGCACAGGTATTAATGACAGGTGTTTTCTTCCTGTAGGTGTAAAGAACAACAGGTGAAATGGTGCTTGGCTGCTTTCTATTGCCCTTCCCTTTGTGTGGTTTATGAGAGAGAGAGAGAGAGAGAGAGAGAGAGAGAGAGAGAGAGAGAGAGAGAGAGACTCACCACCTCCATTACCTAAACCCGCAATAAGAATATCCTCATCGTCTATCAATTGCATAACCCATTATCAGTCGCTGGTGATAATGGTAACGTGTAGCGAAGGCCATTAACCCCCTCCCTATCGTTACACCGGGAAGTTAATGGATCCTAATGGGTAGTTAATGTCCTCTCTCTGGCGATAAAGGGGTGGTTTACTGGGTCACGTAACGAGGGGAGTTATTGTTGTTGCTAAAGTAAACGAGACAGTTTATTGAGAGAGAGAGAGAGAGAGAGAGAGAGAGAGAGAGAGAGTGTGTGTGTGTGTGTATCCATGATCACCATTGGGGCAGAAGGCAAGCGAACGTGCCAGTTGTAGTTTTTTCTCCATGCATCTCTCTCTCTCTCTCTCTCAGCTTAACAAGAGAGAAAACATTAACCAGGTCTCCCCCTCCCCCCACTCAGGATGTCAACATTAAACACGGGACCTCTTCTCTCTGCTTGACGGAGTGAGACAATGCAGACCAATTATTCATGCTCTCTTAATGAATGATAAAAGGTGAGGTATCCAGGTGTGTTGTATACCGTTACGGCTACAGGTATGAATACAGGTAGTTACAGGTACAGGAACAGGTAGCTACTGGTAATTACAGGTAGAAAAACAGGTAGGTATAGGTATGAATACAGGTAGTTACAGGTACAGGAACAGGTAGCTACTGGTAATTACAGGTAGAGAAACAGGTAGGTATAGGTATGAATACAGGTAGTTACAGGTACAGAAACAGATAGCTACAGGTAATTACAGGTAGAGAAACAGGTAGGTACATGTATAGGTATGGATACAGGTAGGTACAGGTAAAGGTATGGATGCAGGTAGTTACAGGTACAGGTAAGGATACAGGTACGAAGAGGTACAGGTTTACAGGTAGATATACAGGTATCAGAATGCGTGTATGCGTTAGGTTAAACCCACTTAAAACTAGGGCCTATTATTACTGGGGCCTATTAGGACTGGGAGGGAGGGGGGGGGGTAGTTTGACCTCTGACCTATAATTACAAATGACATCATACGTTAAAACACTATTCCTACTCGTGACGTCAAACACCACTAAAGCCCCCGAGGTTAAAAGTGATGTCAGATTTAGTTACCAATGACATCAGATATACACAGTGTTAAACCGAAGTTGATATCACATTAGTTTATGGATTTTTATGTATGATATCACAACCATGCAGAAGTAAGATAACATATCAATCAAATTCCCAATTGCTATAACCTTGATATCAACAACACGACCCAAGGCTAAGATAACAATACGAGTGATATCAAGCATTTAAAGATCCATAAAAGATATCAAGAAGTTATTATTATTTTTTTTTACTTCCTTATACATGATGTCAGGATTTAATGCCTAATGATATCACACATTACCTGTATCCTGTTACCTGTGATAATCAAGAGACTAATTACAGTTCCTTGTTTTTTGTTATTGTTTGTGTGCTATGACGTCATGAGGGAGGGGAATGGGTCATAAATAAAAGCTCCGGCGGATCCTTCTCCTCCTCCTCTCCCTTCTCCTCTCCTCTCCTCTCCTCCTCTTTCTCCTCACCATTCTCTCCTCTTCAAGGTCA